TATAATGTGATGTCTTTACTGGACTAGTGTAACTCATTCCTTACTTAACCATTTTAGATCAGGAGGACTTGGTTCCTGAGCCTGATCTACAAGAAGACGGCGAGTAGTTACCTAGATATTTATTAGTTTCTCTTATATTCTTTCATTTCCATTATTTTTTTTTAGAAAACTTATTTTCGATATTGTTATTACGTTTAAATTATTGTGTAAGGAATATTAACCAAAACCTTTTATTTCACTTCCACACTTATATTCTTATATACATTTTCTTTTTAAATTTCTGGGACCGTTACAAAACTAGTAGCACTAATCATAGTAAGAATAAGAAATTTATACCAACAATTTTATGAATATTAATAAGAATAGAAATCCTAAATTACTAACTATAATAATACTCCTAAATGATATAATTATAGACTCCTAGATAGTATAATTGTTTTACAATTTCTAATTTATTTAGGAAATCTAGTGCTAGTCCATTCTACATCAAGTTAGTAATGTGTATACATATTTTGACAATTGGAAAAAGGGTCCTTTTTCACTGGGTGGTAACGTTACTTTTGTCCCAGTGTAATATTCGGATCCGGAATTTGGCCATGGAAGTGTTCGGAATCAAATTACGAGCGAATAAGAGAATTTTTTATCTTTTTTGGCGGTCAGAGGTGACTCCAGCACAACGGCAGTTGGTGGTTGGCTTCCTTCTTCGGCGACTGGTTCTTCTCCAGCGGGAGATTGGCGACTAAAGTTAGAGTTCGGTGTGATGCGAGATATTTATGTCCGTCTCCCTTAAATCTTGGTCGTTCATCACGTTTGATCTCGACTGTCCGATCGCGTTTAAAGAGCAAATGAATCTGAACCGTTCATCGCGGTTTGATCTCGATCATACAATCGCGTTTAAAAAAAAACGAATCTAAACCGTTTATCGCGTTTAATCACGACCGTCCGATCGCGCCTGAGGAGAGAACGGATCCAGACCGTCAATGCATGCGGGAATGCATCCGGGCCGTCCGATTGCAGGCACACGGATTGCCAACATGGCCTCCCGCGTGGCATCGAGTCAGCGTGCCTTACCATGCGGCGCACTCCGGTTCGTTAAGGTTGTTGGTTAGACGGTCCTACGCAGCGCAATTTTTCTTAATTGTGTTTTTATCCCCAGTTTCTAATTTTTCTTTCAAAAATACCATCTGAACTCAAATTTTTAACCATTTTTTCCAAAATTGTTTTCAATTTCATTCTCAACCTATTTTTTTTCCTAATTTTACAATAAACAAAATTTATAAATTTATAAATTATTTTTATATATTTTTTTAAAACTTTAAAATTAATCTCAGTATAAATTCTGAACCCGAGTATTACACCAGCATGTCTATCTACTCTACTTATCTACTACATATCCTTATTTACGGTACTTACCAGTGTGATTGAGCGATTAAATGATGCAATAATAAACTTTTTATGGGCGCCAGGATAAGAGAGATCATCTAGTTAAGTGGGAGAATGCTATAGGCCTAGACCCTTTGGAGGATAGGCATAGGGAATTTAAATCTTGGGAACTAGTCATCATTGGTTAAGTAGCTATGGTGTTTTCTGCAATAACCTAATTCTTTGTGGCATAAAGTAATTAAAAGCATTCATGGGAATTAGTAAGGTCTAGGATAGGCATAGGGAATTTTAAATCTTGGAAACTAGTCATCATTGGTTAAGTAGCTATGGTGTTTTCTGCAATAACCTAATTCTTTGTGGCATAAAGTAATTAAAAGCGTTCATGGGAATTAGTGGAATGGTTGGGATGCTATAGCCATGAGATCCACCATCAGAAAAGTCGATGGAAGGCCATTTCAAGTTTTTTTAACATCTATAAGCCTCTTACCAAGTATAAAGTGGGGGGACGGTTCCAACATCCTTTTTGGGGAGGATCTTTGGAGGGGATGTTGTCTCTTGGCTATCCAGTTCCCACGTGTTTTTCGCATATCTTCCCGCCATAATACCACAATCAACTAGTTCTTTTATCTTTCCAGTAGTTCTCTATCTTGAAACTTATTTGTTCTGTAAGCTTGGATGATAGAGAAACCGATTAACTCCTTACCATATTAAGCTTGTTACAGTCATTTCAACCTTCCTAGCAACCTGATTATCGGAATGGACCCTTGGCTCATCGGATACATATACTTGTAAATTTTTTTCCAACCATGTAACAAAGAACCCAGAAAAATATCTTTAGCAACAATTTTTGGCAAGTCAAGATTTTTTTTTGAAAGTGAAAGTTTTTGTGTGGATTACTCTGAACCAACTAACTTTAATGAGTTGCTGCAAATTCATAGGCCTGACCAATATTTGTCTTCTAACATGTGTCTTATGTTCCATAAGGGTGGGAAAACACATTCTATCTCTTTTTACATTGCGAAGTGGCATGGAAATTATCAGGCAAGCTCTTTGACACTTTTAACCTAGTACAAGTTACTCCTTTCGATTGTTTCATCAAGACAAATTTTGGTGGCTTTAGTGTGACAGTCAAGACGACCCCATCTGGAAAAAGATGACATTTCTGGCTACCCTTTGGTCTAAAGCTCATAGGAAATAGTCTAACATTTCCCTAACTGTCCTTCATAGGAGCTGGGTTGCTACAGTCACATGATTTATTTTTTTCTCAGTGCTTTTTGTTTATATTTTTGTTTTGAATTCCTTTTGTTCCAACTTGATATTTTATCTGCTGTTCTTTTTGAAAATTTTCTTCCCTGATCTTAATAAATGTCTTTTTTATAAAAAAAAGGTTCTAATCATTAACATGCAAGTTGAGACTACATTGGATCTTAGTCGGGATTATTTCGATATAGTGGTAGGAAAAAAAGGAGAAGAAATAGGAAGAACAAGAAAGAAGACAAGAAACCTAGATCATAATGGTGTTAAATGATCAGAGCTAAAAAGCAAACAGAAGAGGAGGGGGAGGGGGGCAACGTGGGTTTTTATATTTGTGATTTTTATTTTTGTGAAACACTAGGAATACTATAAAGTTGTTCGAGCATTTAGATACCAGATGCCATCTCAATTACATTGTTGCTTACAAAAAATAGTTGTGCACTTGAACTTTGGGGGAGCTTGTGCTTGTCACACCACACAATAGCGCCATTGAAAGTTTGGCAAACCAAATATGTTCTTCGCACATTAAAGACCTAGGAAGATTGGTTGACCTCTTGATTCAGCATAGATAAAACAGGACCGAAGAAGCTATCATCAGTAGCTAACATTTGGATATAAGATGATATAATCACGCCATTTTTATCAGTCTAAAATTTTATTATTCTGACAAGCAAACAACTTATTTAAAATGACATCAGAGTAGAGATTCGGCATATAAACAGTGAGAACCCACAACTGAGTTTCACTGGAAGCCCATAGTTGTGTTAGATTTGCACATCCTTTTGTTTTTGTATTGATGTGCTTAACTAAACTCTCCCTTTGGCATGAGGCAGCATGTTTAACTATGATAATAACTTACAATTTTCTATATTATTGTATATGAACAATATATTTACACAGAAAATGCAAAAGAAAAGTGTATTTTTATTGAGTGGTAATAAGAAAAGTTAAACTAAAGGGAAAAGAAAAATAGGTCAAATTTATTAGTTGCAGCAGAAAATAAAAACTTCCTACACCAATAACATGGATCCACCAAACAACACACCTGAAGAAGATGGAGTAGGTGAGATAGGAGGAGGTGGGGAAGCTGGAAGAGCATTGAGTTTATTGTTTGCAAAACTGCAAAGGGAAGATAAAACAATTAGAAAACGCTGATAGATCCAAAGTTCCAACCAAGATCATCAAAGAAATGGGAGGGGGAAAAACTGGAAGCAAACCTGATAGGAGTAAATAGTGAAAAAGAACCATTGACAGGAATATCTCCTGTGAGATTATTGTTTGAGAGATCCCTGAATTTAACATGACAATATGTTATCTATCACATATAACACTCTGCAAAATAAAGATATGACAAACAAATAATAACAGTGGGACACTGATATCAAGAAAGAACTCACAGGACTTGTAGGGATGTAACAGTAGTCAAAGACCCAGGAATAATGCCCGATAACGTGTTGTTATTGAGACGCCTGTCACGGGAAACAAAACGCCATATTTCATATTGTTGCATACAATGTTGAAGTAGTACTAATTAATATGCAGATTACTGATCAATAAAATTGGTAGGTAACACACCAATAATCCATAGTGAGTTCACTGCACCACATCAATAATTCTCATACAATCAATTAAGACTTCATCAATAGATAATCAGAAACACTTAATAGAAAAACAAAAGTTTAAAAAGGACAGCTAGCAACATCGGCATTTACACAGTATAAGTAGAGCAGGTGAACATCACGCTGATTATCAAGATGAACTTGTAACCATGGTTAGAAGAAAAATGTATTATATCATATGGTCTTATCATCATTGGTTTTCTGTATTCTCGTTTAGTTTTTACGTTCCTACCTACAAGAAAAATATCATCAAGTTTTCCGAAAATAGAGTAGGAAAAACACTACTTTGAAAAGCCCCAATAGTGTGTTGACCTCATGTCCTATCTACATCCATCTTTTGTCCATAATTCACCTCCTTTTCGACACAAATACTGGAACATACTATTGCACTTGCCATCATCCACCATGTCCAAAGAGAAAGCTAATCTGGTCTTAGTTTCATCTCCTAAGACCAGAAACTTCATAAACCCCAGCTAAGCAAGCTTAGTTTGGAGGAAAGATATGGAATGAATACCAAAAGCCAACTGGTTTCTTGTCTTAAATTTGAAAAAGTAGTACCATATTTGACACAAGTGGTTGGTCCGCTTCACTACATTCACAAAACCTGATATTACCTTTGAACCAGTAATGGTACTTTAAAACATTAAACCCTCCAAGGCTAGTTGTTAAGGGAACATGCCTCTCCCTGCTACAACACAGAAAATAATAGGGTGTGGGACCCATTTGGAAGCAGCAAAAGGAAGGAGTTTAAGTCTAGTAGGAAGTTGGCTTCTTTATCAAACTATTAAGAGTTGGAATTCTTTACAGATTTATATTAATTATTTAGATTTAGATTTAGATTATGAAATTGGAACAAAACTAAGATTATGATTCCTAGAACTATAATTAAATAGATTAGGATTGGAATAAAATTAGGATTATGATTCCTAAAATTGTATAGGAATGTAATTCAGTTAGCTTCCCTATAAATACACCTATCATAAATAAAATTATATCCAGCTATTAACCCAAAGAGTTTATCTCTAAGGGATCAGAGGTTCTCTAAGACAAGTCTCACCATAAGCAAGCAACACTGGAAAACTAGGAAGCGAGCAGGTTGCTTGCTCCAGGATTTCATACCTGTGGGCCTTTTGACCACATCCAAAGACCAGGACCCTATCACTCACTTTTTCATGTGAATCCACCACTTACTTTTCCTAAAACTTATATTAAAAAACCACTAGACACTAGCCACGATGGTCACCTCAGGCCTCTCATCTGGAGTTGCCTGGTTTCAAGTCAGAGCACAGTGATCTTGCTTTGCTTTAATAAATTCATGAAGATGCTCAAATTAATGAAGATGAATTGGAAGTCTGCAATACTGAGGTCTTTGGTGATATCTATCTATCTATATAAAAGGTTTGGTTGGAACCTTTAAATAAGAATACCACATAGGATTATAGGAGTTTGTAAATTTTGACGCATGGCAATACATATGGTGTTTATGTACATAACATCAAATATCGTTCTATTAACACAAAATAATATTTAATATTTAAAAGAGTACAAATACTCTTATGGTGTATTAAAAGGACAATCAATAGTGAAAGTTAAAGTTATAAATAGTTTTAAATCATATATGTTTAATTAATATTACATATTCTTATCATATTTAATATTTAAATTTTGTCTTTAAAGAGTAAAACTACAAAATTAATTCGAGAATATAATTAGTTGAGAAATTCATAATTTATTTAGTTAGAAAAATATATTGCTAAACTAAATATAACTATAATTTCTTAAAATAAGAATAACTAAATAATAGTTCGAATAAATTTAAGTTTAGAGCTAACTTATGTTTCCTGACTACATAATAGTTTATTTTAAGTTAAAAACTATAATATCTTTTCATGACAAATATTTTTTTGAAATAAAAAGTATATATGTATCATTAATCCACAAACACCAAAGGGGTGCCAACCCATATACAAAGTACTTGTATATCAATAAGAATAAGAAAAAGGTCCCCAAATATTTAGATGGTATTATGACATATTGACAATGAAAGTATCAAAAGGACCCGTTTAGAGCTTATTGGCTCACATGCTTCTAATAGAGAAGATTCCCTGGAAACAACGATCTAGGGCTCCTTGGATGTAGATAAACAAAATACTAGGTTTCTTAACAACTTAATAAACCACAGTAAAAGGAGTAATTTGAGGCAACTATGGGGTTTTATAGGAATTATATGGAACTACTTGGATGCAAATCCGAGCAAGAAGTTGTTACTTTTGATTCTTTTGATCAAGTGGAGAAGGTGTGGGAGGCTGTGGTAGAAATAACTTCTACAACGAGAGATACGCTTGACCTCAATGACTTTAGTAGGGATAAAGGCCCCAAGTTGGATAATTACTCCATCGAAATTTTCAAAGCACGTAGAGATTTGAAAAACTCATACATATTGATGTTTTCGGGGAATTTTACTCATCAATAAAATTTGTAGCCTGCCTAAATTTCAACTTTTACTGTCCTATCCCTAAAGATCAAGAAGCAAAAAAAAAAGGATTTCAAACTGATTAGTTTTGTTATGAGTACGTCTATCTAAAGGCAAACTATCCGCTTCACTAGATAGTCAACCAAAATGAATTATGGGTAGAAAATCGAACTTTTAGTGTTAAGTCCTCTTTCCTCAAGGTGGCCATTCTTGAATTCAGAGAGTCTTTTCTTAGAGAGACATTTGGAAAACAAAAATTCTTTGTGAGACATTTGGAAAACAAAAAGTTTCTTCTCTTAGAGAGACATTTAGAAAACAAATGTTACCACTCAAATCGCATTTTAACAAAAGAAATAAATTTTAATGACAGAAGACCCAAGAAAAAGGGTGAGGTACTATTATCAGCGGCTTCTTTTTGTACAAAAGAGGCAAAGTCTACCAATCATATCTGCTCTGGTGGTGATCTATGCTACAAAAAATGGAATGCTGCTATAACATTTTGGAACTTTGAGGTGAGTGATTGAGAGTCCAATGGATTATGCATGACATGTTATTAAGGCTATCAAGTGGAAGAAACCAATTGCTTCATTTGTATGCTATTTTAGCATTACTTGAAAAGAAAGGAACACGAGCTTTTGAGGTTCTATACTCTCTTTTGATAGGATTAGAAT